TGCAAGAGCTGGCTGAGTCCTTGCTGTAGTGACAGGCAATGGGCTATCCTGTGTCTGTTCCCTGGAGCACCCTACTAGCTACAAATCAGCAAAAGGGGGCTTTCCATGAGCCTGTGGTGCCTGATTAACCTGAGCTTGGCCTGCCCTCCCTCACTGGTGCCACGGCTCTGTAGCCTGCCCAAAGACATTAGTAGCTTTTTGCATTTCTCAGAAAACTTCATTTAGCAAAATGCAGTAGGAGACAGCTAGTCTAAGCAGGCATCTGCCTGAAATGAAGCAAGATCCACAAATATCTTGAGCTGAGAAGTAGAAAAAGCCAATTTAAATGAGCAGGTCTTATGAAGGAGGACCTCTCCCACACATTGCTCCATTCGAATGGCGAGAAGACAACACGTGAAGGCAGCTGAGTGGTTGTATCCCTCGGCCCTGCCCTGTCTAACAGGAGCGAGAGGAAGAGGACGGGCTCCTAAAACTGCCTTTGGTGTGTGCCGAGGGGACGGGGCTCAGGACATGAGGCTATAGGCACTGAGCCTGCTTTTTTTTAAAAGCAGATATGTGCAATTGCAGTGCACACAGCCCCAGTGCCAGCAGGCTCTCGTGGGTTGTTTAATTACATTAAATGGATCAAATAGATTAAAATTTAACCACTGCTTTTTTGTATATTACCAACCGGTATTTTAAAATGTCACGAATGCATCTTTGCATAGGTCACAGTTCAGGAGTTAAGCTTTGTATAAATTGGCACCTAAGGCCTCTGCAGACATGTTTTGCTGCAAAGCCTGAAGAGAAAAAATTCCCCCTCAAAAATGGCTAGCACCTTAACTGCTTTTTAGTATTCCCTTTCATAGTGGAAATGGAGATGTTTCCAGACTCCTATTGGGAAAACAGTTCAATTTTAAGGGCATTCCCTAGAAATTGAACCCCGGACCTGTGAAACCTGCTGCCTCAGAAACTTGGATCAGATGATCCATGCGACTGGGAGTCTGAAAAATTACCGAGAAATCTTCAGGCACCCTATCCATGCCTGTTTTGTGCCATTATGAACACACTCTACAGCTGTTTTTGCTCCCTTGCTTTCCGTGCCTAAAAAACCAATGAGGAGCAGGACATCCAGACATACAAAGGAATTATTATAACCTCATGAGCGTATTGGGGGGGGTGTGTGGCTGTGAGTACCAGCTGGGCAGCTGTGTTGGGCTGTCAGTCGGCGCGGGCAGGCTCGCTGCAGCTGGGGACGGCCCCGGCACCCCGAGCGTGGCCGCAGCTCTAGCGGGGCTCCCCTCGGCAGGGCTGTACGGGCTGTTTTTCCTACTGGCTTTGGAAGTCAGCACTGACCTGCTGTGGCAAGAGACCGTACGTGCCTTACGGTTGGGATTTCTAAAGCTGGACTCGAGACCTGTCTGTTTAAACGGATGAAAATCCATTGCTTTCCTGCCTGCTCTTGATCAGATTGAAATGCTTGTATTGAGTTTTTGATTACTGACTCTAACCCTCCATTTCCCCTTTGCTCTGCTTGGATGCAGGGAGAGGGTATCAGCAAGAAGGGTTTTGGGGGGAGCTTTTTGGTTTTGTTTGTTTTGATAATAAATTTGCACCTCAGACCCATTTAATGCAGAGGCTGTATGTGATGGCCTAACTCTTTCCTGTCTGTTAATCTGATTAGAAAGGTCAGGACTAAGTAGCGTGCTATAGGCCAGCTAGAGGAGTTGGAGTAGAAATGCAAGGCCAAAAAGCTGCCCTGCTTCCTTCGTGTGATCTCTTGCTCTTTGCTAGTCAGGAGAGCCTGAACTAGGACACTGGGAGCCCTGAAGATGAGGAATGCCTACAGATAAGGCTCTTCCTTTACCCGGGCTTCTGTCTTGTCAGTGGTTGATCCTTCCCCCCCAACACTCTTGCACTGTGAGGGATTCGGGATATTGCATTTGAACAGGTTTTTCAGTTCTAGACTTTTCAGGCTGTGCTCTGCTAACAACGTGACATTGGATGGCAGGATGTGCTTCTGTCTCACTGCGTTGAAGGAGAAAAAACAAAGACCCAGATGCTGCTCACAACCATGAACCTTTCATGGGCCAAGCACAGAGCAGCTGAAAGGAAACCTGTTCCCCTGAACAAGGAGAGTATACGGAAGTGAAATCCTATACGCGGGCTGTTCTGCCCTTAAACTGGGGAGAGGTCCCTATCAGCAGAAAGGGTCAGGGAGACCTGGAACATCTCCTTTTTGTGACTTTGACTTATTTTGTCTCTTGAGCTCATATTTCGTATGTTGATCTCACTTTGACTGACAAAAGCTAACAGATTTTGTTAGGACTCTTCCTCTAACCTTTCACTTCCATTAGACTAAATGCTGGAGGGATGATTAGTGGCAGGAGAAAAATGAGGAGAGAGGATTTGTTTTTTCTATCTCATTAGCAAAAGCACAAATCATCTCATTCGTGTTTAATAAACAGAGGAGGGTGAGCTTCCCTCCTGGGAGGGAGGAGCTTTGCTCCCCTTCTGAAGAAATAAAGGGGGAGATGCATCTCCCACAAAGTCCTGGGCGGAAGCTGGAATAACCTAGTCCTGGCTCTGCTTGCCTGAGGCCTGTTCTCTTGGGGGCTTAAGTGATGAGTAGGGGAAAATCCCCCACGAAAAGATTTGCATTGGAAACCCTTGCCTGTGGAATGACTCTTAAAATAGAAAAGCTTTGCCTGAAAAGGGATGAACCATGTACCATAACACTCAACAAATCCCCTGTTTAATGGCCTCTCTTTATAGCAGCTGTGTATTAATAATAGCGGGGACCATACAGTTCTTTGTAAGATTAAAATAAACACTATTACATACGAATACCACCAACTTTCTGGGCAGGGTGACTAAGAAAAAGGAGCAAGCAGAAGACTAAGGCTTGAAAGACTTGGTTTCTTTCCCCTCTTTCTACTGTTGGATGAAGAAATGGCATTACTAACGTCTACAAAGGGGGGAGATGCTCTGAATCATCCCCTCCCGGACTGCTGTTCTATTTCAGTGGTTTGTTGCAGCCTTGTAAGCTTGTCTGTCTGTATGCAGTCAGCACTGAACCACTGTAAGGCAGGAGTCATTCCTCGGGGAGTAAATACCTTAGGGGAAACTAGACTGGTGAGAACTTAATCTAACTTTTCTTTGAAACACAACTGAGGATCCCTGCTGCCCTAAGGCATACATTAGAAAGAGTGGTTCACACTGGATATAAGAAATCTTTTCATCGTGAGGACAGGAAAACAGTGGAGCAGGTTGCCCGGAGAGACTGTGCTGTCTCCATCCTTGGAGGGTTTCAAGACCAGGCTGGATTAAAAAAAACCCTGAGCAACCAGGTCTGATCTCAGAGGTGACCTTGCTTTGAGCAGGAGGTTGAGCTAGACAACTGCTGAGGTCCTTTCCGACCTGAATTATCCTATGATCCTAGGAATGTTTGTTATCTTTTTCCATAGGAGCATGAATGGATGTAACGTTTTGTGCAGGCCAGTCACTCCATTTCTCATGCCTGGCAGTCCTGATTACAGCACTCCCTCTGATGCTTTGCCAGGCCTGGCACTAAAGCAGTCCTGAGTTTCCCTCCTAGAACTAGGACTTCAGGCATTAAAAAAAGAAAGGAAATTTTACATTTTAAAGCTGTCTGCTGCAGACTATTTATCAGATGTGGAAAATGATTTGTTTCTGTTTTCCTGGGCATAGGTTTTTAGCTGAGACAAGATATGTTGCCTTGCTAAGAGCTGAGTCACTGAGTAATCAACAGATTAATGTATTCAGTTCTAAAGCCATCAGCATTAGTTCTCGGCAAGCTCACAAGAACTCCATTATTGTATCATCTCTACGTTTGGGATAGAAGCGTCTCCGCAATTTAGAGTTCCTGTGGGAAAAATCCCTAGACGCAAAGAAATCAAAATACCCCTTTGTGAGTGGGAGAAGCAAGTTACCTCTTCATACAGTAACAACACAGCAGGATTTTGGCATCCTTTCCACTGAATGCTTTTATTATCAACTGTTAGATAAGGAGTTTGGGGTATGCTGTACATCTGTCATTTAATAGCTGCCTAAAAATAGTCATGATAAACCCAGTGGCTCTAGGACTTTGCCTTTATCAGGATTTTAATCTGAAATTATTTTATTGCCAGTGAAACAGGGTAGTTTTACTTCTGTCTGGGAGTATGCAAAAAGAGGCTTTGACTGCTCTAGGGTTTGCTTGGAGCCAGAAGTGTGAAATGGAAAGGCAGAGAAAGGCAAAGAGGCATCTGGCAGAGGAGCTCCTGTTCAAAAATAAGGTGCTGGTTGGAGTAACCATAGAGCAGCAGCTGTAAAAGGCTGGGCTGGCCTATGTGTAGTGTGAGAAGGCTGCCAGACACGATAGTTATCCTGGCAGATGTGAGTTAAAGCTGCTACCTAAGGCCCCCCTGGTGAAAACTTTGCTAAAGTAATATATCTGTTTGTTTGCAAGCAAAATTGCTGTCTGTGGGCACACTCACATGGGGGATATGTGAGTAAAAGCCAGTCAAGCCCCCACAAAAGTGAAGTTAATCCTAAAAGCTTTCCTGTGTTAGCAGGCTGGTGGAAGGGATTTGAACAGCAGCAAGACTTTTCCTCGAGACATTTCTTTTTGCAGCCTGTCTCCAGCATGTGCACAATACATAGCACACGTTCTTACTGTTTCCCCAGGTCTGTCTACCTCTGGCTAGGCTGTCCTTAGGTCAACAGAAAATTGTTTCCTGCACAAAAGGTCAGTGCCAGAGCAGGGGAGACTGGCTGTTGTAACAGAGTCCCCAGGTCTACATTTCACTTAGGTGTACAAACCATGTCATCTGCAATTGAGGCTGTACATCTACTTGTCGCACAATCTGCATATGCAATAGGTATACAAGAGTAATGTGCATCCTCCCTTCCTCCTTTTCCTTCCAAGATACTTAGACTGTGCAAACAAGTCCTGTCTGTGCCATGGGTTGCTCCGTTCTTTGAACCTGAGCAGCGGTGTTCATTGGATTTTAACTTACCCGTCGTTCCTTATCGCCATATTCGATGCCCAAGGTATCCATGGCACGTACAATAGCTGCCAGTGACTGAATAGTGTTGCTATAGACCACTGGCTTGTACTGCTTCACATCTTCTCCAGAGAAGCCATCTTCATGGATGATCCTGAAAAAAGTAAGGGCAAGAACCTCAAAAGAATGTCATTGCAATGGGAGAAGCATTTAAGAAAGTTGTGCTCTTTTGAAGAGCAGATCTGCAGGCTTGATCCACTTAACTTAGTCAGCATTTCTTTACACCTTTCTGGCTGAGCACCATGAGTGTATGTGAGTTAGCATGGAGTTAGCATCCTTTTTGCTGTCTCATAAGGAGATCCTGTGCAAGGTCGGCGCATACAGTCCCTGCCCCCGCCCCCAACTGAACTGTAACTGCTGGATGCTGGCTTGAAGCCTGGGCACCTTCATGTTCACATGCTCATTGATCTCAGGGAGGAGATTTCCAAGTCCTACCTTCTCTCTCTCCTGTTTATGGAAATATATCCACTGCATACAGTGACACTCGGATCTTAACAAGTGGAAACAAGTGACAGAAAAACCTAGTTTTTGTCTAGTCCTTTTCATCATAACTCTTGGGGTGCCTTACAAAAGGAAACGGAGTTGGTATCTCTTCTGTACACATGGGGAAAATGGGTAGAGGGGAGAAGTGATTTAGCCATGTAGCACTTAAAAGTATTTACAAGTCCTTAAGCCTCCTCCCTCCTTTCCTTTTCTTTAAAAATATAGCGCTAGGAGTTCTGCTGCTTTAAGGTGTATTATGTTATCCTTTCCCGAAATGATGTGGGAATTAGACCCACAGTCCTGTCAGTTCTACGCATTGGGTACTGTTAAGTCTCTATAATAGCCGTCGTTCTTGTTTTTGATTAAACGCCACAAAAGGAACTATTTTATGGAGTGAGTTCTCAGTCCCTTATTCAGGTCTTCCCCAGAGCAAACAGAAATGACCCGGTAGCTGGAACCACTTATTTGGATGGTCCTTTGTAGTAACTAAGTAGGCAATTGCCCAAAATTGGCTGTTTCAGAAAAGAGCAGCGGCTGATGGCTCACCAGGAATCTCAGCAGAGGGTTGGGGGCCAAGGGACTGTGGGTTGGTCGCAAATGTGTTGTAGCGTATCAGCTGCACCCTGCTTGCCTGCACACGGGGCTGGCAGCCTTGCACAAGTGATGGGTTCCCACCAGGTGCACAGGCTCCTAGCGTTTCCTCAGATCACAGCTTGCCCTCTTCACCCAAGCCCCCTGCTTACTCCTGAAGAACCCCGACATAACGAGACAGTGCCAGGATGGGTTTTCAGGTGCTGGACTGATTTTTGGAGCACTGGGCACTGAGTCTGTGTGATTGCTTTTGCCTTGGGAATTTGCAAGGAAGTGGCTGGCAATGCCCCTTCCCTGTTCTGAGCTTTGCAGCTCCAGCAGGTTTTTTTCCCCTCATGTAAATAGGTGTAATTAGCTCTCTTGAGTTTGGGCAGGCATGACCAGGGAATAAGGAGATGTGGGTTTAGTTTTTTGTTTTTTTTGCTAAATGTTGGTTCTGGGGCAACCAACTAAGAGAAAGAAGCAGAAGAAGGGACTATGGAAGGGATAAGAGGAGATTGTCAGGAACAAGGACAAGGGGCAGTTTAATGCCTGCAAGAGGATGCAAAGGCCTCACTTGGAAATGCTGCATGCGTGCCCTGTGTTGCCTCTTGTGCATGCCGCTCTTACAGCTGCGGGGTCCAAGTTCCCGAAGGGAGAAAAATCAGTTGATGGTTGTTTGGTCCTGCTGCCCTGCTATGCTGGGGAACAGAGTGATGTCCACCCTCTTGGACTGGTGCGGTTTCTGCCTTTCACTGACAGGCCTATACTAGGGACTTTATGTGAAGAAAGAGGACTAAGTTGCTTTTAGAGTTTAAAATTTCTCTGGCCTGGTGCCACTAAGTTGTTGCCTGACACTTTCAGTTCTTATCTCTAAAATTACACCATCTGGGCACATCAGCAGAGCGCATAGACACCCATCCTTATTAACGGATACAGCAGGGAGAAAAGTGAACGTTCTTTGCTTGATCACTGACATCAACTTCAGCATGGGAACTGCAAACACGGTTTGCAGTTTGATTTTTTTTTTTGACAGCAGAGGTGAAGGGGGATCTTGTTGCTGTCTGCAGCAACAGGGCAGTGTAGAGAAGCTGTAGCTCAGCTCCGTTTGGAGTGCAGTGTTGGACGCAGGCTGGGACCTGGGCAAAGCCAGCTGGATATTAAGAGTTTTTTTTCTTCATGAGAGTGGTGAAACTCTGCGACCGCAGAGGTGGGGAAATCTCCATGCCTAGGAGCTATTTCGAACATGAGCAGACAAGGCCCAGAGCAACCTGACCTGAGATGGCCCTGTTTTGAGCAGGGGGTTGGACCAGAGACTTCCAGAGATCCCTTCCAACTGAAATTATTCTGAGTCGTGTTTCTAAATACTCAAACCGTCCTATCAAACAGGGCTGCTTGTGCTGAGGAGGTAGAATAAAGCAATGGAGAATGGTTCTGATATCCCTCAGTGCATGTGCTGCTGACTGGGCAACATGTTGACATCATTCAAAGAACAGACATAAAAGCATTACTTTTAAATGAGGCATAAAAGTGAGCAGAGAAACATGATTGTTGTGAATTTCTCTGGGAAGGCAGCCACAAGGCCTGAAAGCAGTTCTGCAGATGGCCAGTAGGAAAGTTTTGCTGTAGGAAGTACCTACTGATGAATCAATCTTGCATTTAGCATGTTACTTAATATTTGAGTGAGCAAATCCCTGCTGACTAGTACTGTTCCAAAAACTGCTAGGACACTGAACTGATTTATTGTCCTATATGTTTTTAGCAAATATTTCTCCTCTCGCCTGCCTTGGTGATGTGATCATTGGACTCTTGTGACAGCTTTTTCCATAGTTCTTTGGAAATATTTGTGCAGTCACTCATACTTTTGGGATATACCTTTCTTCTGGCCTGCAGAATGGCTGTTGGGCTTTATTGCCTAGAGGACAGACCTGCCTGACGTTATGTCTAAAGCTCCAACAACACTCTGGAGAGGTATATTAGGTGGGGGCTTGAGGTGGCTTCTGTGCCCAAGGACACAAAGCAGTGGTTTTTGGAGACTGTAGTCAGTTCTGACTGTCAAAAATGCAAAGTGTATAGAAACTAATAGAAGCAGGCAGTGTGTCAACACGGGGAATTCTCTAAAGCTTCAGTTAAGGTGAGCCTAGTCCTTAAATGATCAATGGGAATGAAAGGTTTTAGCACTAAAAATTTGAATCCTCTTTTTTTAAATGGTTCATATTTTTTTCGTGTCTGAAATACAAAGAAAACGGCTGTTCCTTTCTGCCACACTGGACCTGGTTCTCTCCAGGGTGAAGGAAGAGAAGGGTTTTAAGAGAACCCTGGGGGCTGTGGAGGAGAGACGACGCTGTAATTTCTAAAAGTAACTCTGAGCAATTAAAAAGCCATTTCATTCACCAAGTGATTAACAACACACAGTGCTTTGAATGGAATGGTGAGAGAAAACTGAAGCAACCTGATTGTCTAATGCTTCTATTAATGCCTACTGCCTAGCCATCAGCTACTAACAGCAAAACCCACATGTTTGTACGTTGTTGGTGTCATACTCATTTTAGGATGGCAATAACAGATAGGTATTTGCTGGGGAAAATGGCTCTATTGCAGGTCTGATCTTCTCCCATCTCCCTGGAAGTCATTAATCCTGAAGAAGTGCCCAGTGCCTCAGTGATTATTGCTTAATTACAAAATAAATGAAATACTTGGAAATGGGGTGCAATTTGTGTAGCTTGCTTTGGCTTCTGTTCAACAAAGCACTTACATGCCTTAAGTCTTTCACTAAAAAATAAATGTATTAAAAAAGCACAGTTAAAGGTAATTGTCTTATGTCCCTGTTGACATGTGCTGCCTTGTTGTGAAGTGGCAGCTATTGAGCAAAGCACATAAGAATTCAACCTGGGGCTAATCTGAGCAGGATCTGTTCTACCTACCTTGCTCCTGATGGGAGTATATTTGTCCATCTGTCCTAAAAACTTCTTGGAGCAGAGGCTGCCATTTTCTCTTCCCCTACTCCATTTCCAGCCAAGCTATTCTGGTGTTTTCCTTCCAGCCCTCCCAAACTTCCTCCCGAGTCGTGTTTTACAGCTGTAATGACTCTTCCCTACACTTGTTCCAACTTGATGGTCCTCTTGAGGTACAGTGCCCCAGACTAGATGCAGCCCTCCAGTGGGGGGCCCTGTCCTGGCTAGAGCCCAAGTCCTACTTCACTTGTCTTACATGTTATCTCCCTCCTGCTTATACAGCTTCAAATGGCTTTTGCCCCTTTTCACACAAATGAGGCATTAGCTTATGCTGTCTGATAAGTCTTTATCCTTTTCTTGAAGAACTGCTACCAAGTGATTGGTCTCCCTGCTGTAGCTTGTGCTGCTGGCTAAACCTTCTCAAAGGTTGAATTTACTAGTTGCCTCAATGGACTGGCATCTCTACTTTTTCAGATCATTTCTCTAACTTCAAATCATTTTAAACTTTAAAACCTATCCTCCCAATGTGCTAAAGTACTTCTCCCAGCCCCATGTCACTGACAGGTCTAATGAAAATATATATTTCCTCTGGGTCATTGAAATTCTGACTAAAATCAACCCCTGTCAGCCCCCTGCAGAGTCCTGGTTCACGCAGTCCTGTTTTGACCATGAACTGTTGGGTAACCGTTCTGGGAGAGAGTTTTGCTGGCCATCTATTTTGCATGTGTTCTGAAAGAGTTTTATCTCTATTGTTGCCCCAGCTCGCACTTTATGAAAGACAAACGTGACTGTGTCAAACTCCTCCTAAAATCTAGTTGGGACATCAACTATTTCTCTTCTACTTCCTGTCAAGAAAGGAAATTAGGTTGGTTTAACATGCCTCGTTTTTGAATAATCTGTGCTTGATGTTACTCCATCTCCCTATTTATCTCCTAGGTGCTTACAAATTGTTTGATAGTTCAATTCCCTTGAAAGCTTCTAGAAGTTAAGCTGACTGGTCTGTAACTATCTTACTCTTCTTTTCTCCCTCTATTAAAAGAGACACACTATGTTTACATTTTTTCCAGTCTTCTGGTACCTCATCTGT